AATAAGAAGTACTTTAAGGTGCACCAAAAAATCAAAAAAATTTTAGGTTTTAATCATATAGTTAAATCCAATGTATATACTAGAGTGCGACTAGACGCACATTTTTGACTTTAGCATGTTTTTCTCCGACCTAAAACAGCAACTTTATATATTTTGAGTGCGTATAATAGCGCTTCAGTTTTAAAATTTCATTCGACAGTATTATAGTCAATTTATTCATCAGTATAATACCCGATTTTAGAATATTTGTTGATTTTAGATGAATTATTTTCGAAAAAATGTTACAATGAGAGGGGTGGGTGGGTGGGGCTGTTACTTTTACATGCCCTTACCTTAAAATGCATTTAAAAATGATAATAGTCAAGGCTGATAAACACTTAACAATACACTTTAAAACTATAAATACTATAAGATGCACCTGAAGAAAAAAAATACATTAAAACGCACTTTGAAATAATTCAAAGTGAACCTAAAAAAGAAATTTTATCAGGTTGCATCTATTAGCCATAAACACTTCTTAAGTTAAACACATTCTTATGTAAAATATAGAAATGAGCGCATTAAAATTAAGGAAAGATTCATGGCGCATCTTAAAATATCAAATTCTTCAGGGTAAAGCTAAATTAAAAATCCATTCAAAATGCATCTTAGTAATTGAGAATTAAGGAAGCACGTAATAATTTTAAATTCATTAAAGTGCGTCTAAAACAAATAAACACTTTGGAGTGCACCTTTAAATGATAAGTACTTTAAAGTGCACTTAAAAATCATAAATATTTTAGGTTTCAATCATATTGTTAAATCCAATATATATACTAGAGTGCGACTAGACGCACTTTTTTGACTTTAGCATGTTTTTCTTCAACCTAAATCAGCAATTTTATATAATTTGAGTGCGTAATAGCGCTTCAGTTTTAAAATTTTATTTGACAGTATTATAGTCATTTCGTTCACCAGTATAATAGTCGACTTTAGAATATTTGTTAATTTCAAATGAGACTCAAATCATTTCAAAATGCACCTTAGTAATAGAGACTTTAGGAAGCACGTTTTAATTTTAAATTCATTTGAGTGCGTCTAAAACTGATTAACACTTTAGAATGCACCTTTAAATGAGAAGTACTTTAAGATGCACCTGAAAGTCATAAATATTTTAGGTTTCAATCATATAATTAAATCCAATATATAAACTTAAGTGCGATTAGACGCACTTTTTTGACTTAAGCATGTTTTTCTTCGACCTTAAACAGCAATTTTATATATTTTGAGTGCGTATAACAGCGCTTCTGTTTTAAAATTTCATTCGGCAGTATTCTAGTCATTTCATTCATTAGTATAAAAGTCGGTTTTAAAATATTTGTTGGTTTTAGATAAAATATTTTTGAAAAAATGTTCCAATGAGAGTGGGGGGGGGGGGGGTGAAGCTGGTACTATTACATCCACTCCACGAAAACTTGGCACTGTTCTTATAATGACAAAGATTTGAGGGTTCATATTAAATAAACATTAAATAAACTTATTAGCATTCTTCTTAAAATGATAAACACTTTAGAGTGCATCTAAAAATAAAAAATACTTTGTAGTGCGCCTAAAACGGATAAATCTTACGATAAATCTTTTAATAATAGAAATTTTAGGGTTTACTTGAAAGTTATAAATATATCAGAGTTTACTTCAAAATTCTAAACACCTAAGCGTGCACATTAAAATGATTAAAAAAAGTTTTTTTGTTTCACTTTTTATTGGAAAACAATTTAAAAAGAAAAACTTAATGAAAACATCAACTTAAAAACCATTTGAATGAAAAACTTAATTATATTTAAACTTGTATTAGTTCTTTATTCAAGAGAATAAATTATAAAAAATGTGGTATCTAATTTTTTATTAAGTTTTTTGACGATGTTTTTTGATTTATTAAGTTTTCTGACGATAATTTTTATAACAATTTTTTATAATATTTATTTTTAGTATTACAGTAACTTACGCTATTTTTAAACTCCGCCAAACGAGAAAATCATATGATAACATTTAAATATGAGAGATAGTATGTTAAAAGTTAACAATTACGTGCTAAAGAAACAATTTTATACTAACGCAATCCCTTCCCCCTATTACCACACATCGGCGCGAGTTATAAGAGAGAGGGAGGGAGGAGGTAAAAAATACATATTTTTTCGCGACTAGATTATTTTGCGTTATTTCGAGCCATGTCTCAGTTTAATTTCTATTGAAATGTCTTTTCAACCTTATCAATTTGAACCAAAATAATATAGCAAAATCCACATAAATATTAATTTAACTAAAACATTTTACAATAATTATTTTTTTTATCAAACGACAATGAGAATAACTGTCACTTTCGGAACCATAAAAATGACTGAATTAAATGTATTTTTGTATTAAAAAAGTAATTTAAATAAACTTTCACGTGTCTACATCAAAATTCATTTGTTATAAACTGACTAAAAAGAATTTAAAATTTGACTTCTATTCATTTTTGGCCGTGGAATTGCCCTTATAACACAAATATATAAATAAAAATTAAAAAAAAACTTAATATACAAATATATTTTCACAAAATGCTACAAAACTTATTCTTGTAAGTAGTTATGTGTTAGTTAAAAAAAAAAAAACTATTTAACGACTTTACTTTTAAATCTGCAATAATGGCATTTGTCTACTATGTTTAATTTGACGCACAAAAGTCAATAAACTTTGGACAAGACGCATTTTTTTTTATTCGAAGAAAAGCGTTTTTTTAAAAATTAAATTTGTTAGTGTGTGTTCATTATTACGTTTTAGAAAAAATAATATACATCAACTTTTTTTTTTTTATAGCACTTAGGGATCCCTTTAAAATTTACAAAAATATTTTTTAAAGAATAAAGTGCGACAGGACTTTGTTTATGTTATTGCAAAATAATAAATTTAAAATAATAATCTTTATTTTTTGACTTTTGGTCTGGTTTTTGGAAAATTTGCCCAGCGTGCATCGGTTAGGAAGGAGGCTTAATTTGTGATTTGTGGGTTTTGAAACACGGGTCCTTTGCTTTCTAATTTTTTGATGCAGCCTTGATTATATCCCAGTGGGCATTTCGCCGTCGAACGAACGTCGAGCGACGTCGGATCTCGACGTCGGATCGACGTTGGGTTTACGTTGGAAATGGAAATGTTATTTGACGTCGGATAAACTGACATCGCGCGACGTCGGCATTCCGATGTAAATCTAACGTGTTTTTTGAAAACTAAAAAACGTTGCCTCAGGCAGGAATTGAACCTCGGTCTATGAGTATCTAAATCTAACGCGCTTACCATTACACATTTATCATTGAGTTTATTTAGTAATTTATACTTGTAGCTATTTCGGAATTATTACTTTGATAAGAAATAACTTTGTTTAAATATTATATAAATATATTTATTATTATTCAATATATTAAAACGAATAGTTATATATTATAAAAAATGTATACTCGAAAATGTTAATAGTTAAAAAACTATGCTAGTGCATCATACAAAACCTCATGATGTTTTATCAACCATTAATCAAACTTCTTTCCATTAATAAAAAACACGCTTAGTTCACATATTTATTGAAGAGCGCAATTGCACACATATTGTTGGGTTTGGATTAAATTTTCATCAGCGTTGTCTTACGACGTTGTTCCGACGTTGTTTTAAGGACGTTAAATTGACGTCGGAAGACGTCAAAAGACATCGGAGTACGTTAATATTATGACGTTGCCCGACGTCTTTTTATCGACGTTGGATCGATGTCAGTACTGCGACGTTTTTTGTACGTCTTTTATAAGATGTCGGAACAACGTCAAAATACATCGAAGCGACGTCATTGGATGTTGAGATAAAGACATCGCCCGACGTCATTTTACTGACATCGGAACAACGTCGGAATAGGTCTTTTGACCTCGCTGATGAAAGTCGTACGTATATCCGACGTCGGATTGACGTCGGGTGCCCACTGGGATATCACTTTAAGATGCACCATGAAGTATTTATGACTTTAGGCTGCAAGTTAAAATGTTTATCATTTGTAGGTGCACCCTAATATGTTTATTATTTTTAGGTGCACTCTGAAATATTTTAAAGTGCGTTTTAAAATTATTATTAATTTTATGTGTGTCCAATAGTATTTTTAATTTTCGAGCTCACAGGAATAACGGTAAATATTCTGTCGTTATTTATGATAAATTAGTAGTTAAAGATTTTAAAAAATCTCATAAAAATGCTTAAAGTTTATTTATTTTTTGTATATATTTTTTGTAATTTAAATAGTATTTTTATTTATTATTGCTAAAATGGCGGAAGCCAGCAATAATAATGTTTTTGACATATCAGGAAGGAAAAACACACTAAACCGAAGTAATGACGATGATAAAAATATTAACATTTTTGACGAAATTTTAGTAGAAACGGCTTATTACAATGTTGACGATGTTAATCATGTTCTTAATTCTTTATCATCCCATTTTTCATTATTACATTTAAACATCAGAAGCATAAATAAAAACTTTGATAATTTAAAATTTATGTTAAATAATATAAGTAACAAGTTTAGTATTATCTGTCTGACTGAAACTTGGTGTCATCGAGACACGATTAATTCTAACTTTCAATTATCAGGATATAAATCCATTCATCAACCTAGAGTAAACGGCATTGGTGGGGGCGTATCAATTTTCGTCCAAAACTCATTGACTTTTAAGTACATAGAAAACCTCAAAGTAAATGACGTTGATTGTGAGTCATTTACAATTGAAATAATTAATAAAACAAATAAAAATGCATTTATAACAGCATTATATAGACCACCTAATGGTAATTACAATCAATTTGAAAACCACTTAAACTACTTGCTACCAAAGCTCATAAAAAAACATGTGTATTTATTAGGTGATTTTAATTTGAATTTTTTGAATTATAAAACAGATAACCACGTCATGCGTTTTACAAATACACTTTTGCAGTACAACCTTTTCCCTATGATTAACAAGCCAACACGCGTGACTAAAACAACTGCATCCATTATCGATAATATTATTACTAACAATTACACAAGCGTGGAATGGCAAAGTGGTATTATTAAAACAGATATAACTGACCATTTTCCAGTTTTTCTGAGTACATATTCTGCAAACCCTGAGAAACATACAAAAACAAAAACTGTATATGAAAGAAAAATAAATAATGAATCACTCGCCACGTTTCGAGACCTCTTACAAGAAGTAAACTGGGAACTATTGACTGATTGCAATGACGTAAATAACGGCTATGAATTTTTTATTCACGTGTTCACTAAGCAATACGAAAAGGCCTTTCCAAAATTTAAAAAAATTATTAAACCTAAAAGTTTGCTTAGTCCGTGGATGACGAAAGGACTCATTAAGTCGTCAAAAAAGAAACAAAAACTTTACCAAAAATTTCTTAAAAAAAAGAACTACAAAAACGAAATAAAATACAAAAAATATAAAAATTATTTTGAAAAATTAAAAAAGCAATCAAAAAAAAATTACTACTCTTCATTACTTAATAAAACATTTGGCAATGCAAGAAAAACTTGGAATGTAATTAAAGAAATAACAGGCGTGGGTAATGTAAAAAAAGACAATTTCCCAAAAAGATTACAAAGAGATGACAATTTAGGTGATGCTTCTGTAAATAAAGAAATTGCAGAAACATTTAACAACTTTTTTATAAATATAGGAAAAAAACTAGCCGATGCAATTCCGGAGGGAAAAAAATCATTTAAATCCTTTTTGAAAAAATCTGATTTCTTCATGGATGAGTCAGAGCTTTTGATTGAAGAACTTCGGCAAGCGATTAGTATGCTTAAATCAAATAAAAGTGCGGGTCTGGATGAAATTAAACCTGATGTTGTAAAAGCTGTCTCTGATATCATAGAGAAACCCCTTTTCATAATTTTTAATCTATCCCTAAAAAACGGCATTTTTCCCGACCAACTTAAATTAGCAAAAATAATTCCAATATACAAAAGCGGCGACGACTCAATAATATCTAACTATAGACCGATTTCCATACTTTCCTGTTTTTCCAAAATATTAGAGCGTATTATGTTCAACAGGCTGTACAATTATCTTGAAAAAAATAATATTCTTTATCATAAACAGTTTGGTTTTCGAAAAAACCATTCTACGGAACATGCCGTAATTGATCTTGCGAACCAAATTTTACAAGGTTTTGAAAACAATTGTTACACACTTGGAATTTTTCTAGATCTATCAAAGGCATTTGATACTGTAAACCACAAGATTCTTATCTACAAACTACGTAGTTACGGAGTAGTTCACTCTAATTTAAAGTGGCTTCAATGTTATTTAGAAAACCGTAAACAAGGTGTACCATATGATCTAACATGCTCCCCATTTGAATCAATAAGTTGCGGAGTTCCACAAGGATCAATACTTGGACCTTTATTGTTTTTAGTTTATACCAATGATATTTTTTTGTCTTCAAAAATACTTAATTATACTATTTTTGCTGATGACACTAATGTTTTCTTTTCTGACTCAAATTTAAAAAATATTTTTTATTATGTAAACGCTGAACTAATATATCTTAATGAGTGGTTTATAGCAAATAAACTATCATTAAATATTGAAAAAACTAAATATATTTTGTTTGCTAAACCATCTCAATCCGAGAACCTTCCACTTAAACTTCCAGAACTAACAATTAACAATATTAAAATAAAAAGAGTTTTTTCAATGAAAATACTAGGAATAAATTTCGATGAACATTTAAATTGGAAAAGCCAAATAAAGTTAGTCGAGAACAAAGTTTCAAAGACTGTGGGGATTATGTACAGGACAAAACATCTTTTGAATAAAATATGTTTAAAAAACTTATACTTTTCATTTATACATAGTCATATTAACTATTGTAATATTGCCTGGGCAAACAATCATTCATCTTTCCTAAAAAATATTTATACTAAACAAAAACAAGCAAGTCGATTAGTTTTGGGCGCAGATAGGTACGAAAGTGCCAAGCCGTTACTCAAGGAAATTAATGCGCTAAACGTATACGAACTAAATATATACCATAACTTGTTATTTATGTTTAAACTTCAAAATGAACTAATTCCAAAATATTTTTATAAAGGTTTCTCTCTAATTAACCATAAATATGAAACAAGACACTCAATAAATAATTACTACATCCCATCAACATCACTCAAAAAATCTGACTTCTCAATTACATGTCGGGGGCCACGCTTGTGGAAGTCAGTTCTTGACGAAAATATGAAAAAAATAAAATCTATTGATATATTCAAAAGAACTATAAAAAAACACTTACTAAACTCAAACATTACATACATTCTTTCATTTTTTTAAAAATAATATTTTTTTGATAAATTTGATAAAAAGCTTTTTTTTTTTTTTTTTTTTTTTTTTTTTTTTTTTTTTTTTTATTTTTTTTTTTAATATATATATATACATATATATCTTTCTTGTTTGATTTTCTCTTTGACTGTGTTTTTTTTTTTTTTTTTTTTTTTTTTTTTTTTTTAACTTTTTTTAATAAATACTAACAAATGAATTTAAATCTACATAACGTTTGGAATCTTTTTAATATATAAATATTTTTGAATATATACTTCGCTTTGTATTGAATATGTATACGTATATGTTCTGATTTGTAAAAAAAAAATTCAAACTTTTTAATTTACGCATTGTATACATTTTTATTTTTTTATTTCGAGATTTTATTATTATTATTATTATTATTTTTTTTTTCTTTCTAATTTTTACTTTTTTTAATTTTTAATTTATTTTAAACTTTTTAATTTTTTTCAATCTTTTTACTTTATTTCAAACTCTTTAAATTTTTTTATTTTTATTTTAATTTTGTTTGAATGTTTGTTTATTTTTTTTTACAAAATTTTTAATTTAACTCTTTTTTATATTATTGGAATTTTAGAAATTTTATATTTCTCTATTTCGCAAAAGGGCTTGATGATAAGACTTTATGTCTTCTACTTGCCCCTGTCAGCTTGTAATTATATATATATTTATTCGAATTTAAAGATAACATTGTAAAATGTGTAAAACGACAAAAAATAAACTAAAAAAAAAAAAAAAAAAAAATTATGTAAACTGAAAATCGATATATTCCTCGCTTAAGATATTTAATACGATATTACTAAAATATTACAAACCAAATATTTTTTTATGAAAAAGTTAACTATGTATGTGTTTAAAATTACCATGCAGCAATAAAAGTTAACTAAAATTTTCAGTAAAACTGAAAATGGTTCTTAAAAAAAAACATGTCGCTAAAAACATGATTCTAGTCTCCTTTCCGAATAATTCGATACGAGAATCCAACAAAGTGCACACTAAGTGTGGCTTTTTTTACGCATATAATGAAGTTTAATTTCATAATTACAAGTGTGGCTTTAAAGCGCGCAAGTGTAGCCTTGAAGTACACTATTTGTGTAGCCAAAAAGACGCTACACTAAGTGTCGTGTTTTTTGTCCACACTATTTTTATAGTTTTATCGAATAAACGCAACGCTTGTATAAAGTTCCTTTATTGCTAAACTCAATGAGAATCCATCTCTTACGAATGCTACTAACAAAATATTTTGTATTCAAAATATTTTGTAACCAAAATATTTTGTATCAAAATATTTTGTATCAAAATATTTTGTATCAAAATATTTTGTATCAAAATATTTTGTAACAAAATATTTTGTAACCAAAATATTTTGTATCAAAATATTTTGTATCAAAATATTTTGATACAAAATATTTTGATACAAAATATTTTGTAACCAAAATATTTTGTATCAAAAAAATGAAATGTAATATTTAATCTTGTTTTAGGTATTATTGTTAGGTATATCAATGAACGTGTGTTGATAAAAAATAATTTGGTTGCAACATTTCCATTGTGGAAAGCAACATTTTCATTGTCTTTACTGTTTAAACCAAGCTTTCGTCCAACTGAAGACACAAATATAATTCATTTGAGTAATACAAGTACTTATCAAAGTTATGGGGAACGAATTCCTGGTATTTGGTATTTTAAATCAGGAGCTATATATGTTTCTTCTGCAGTCAATGGTGATGGTGATTTCGATTTTACGACTAATCCAATACCATTAAATGTGTGGTCAAGTATTCAAGTATCGCAAACTGAAACTAATGGAACCTATTTATATTCAATATATTTAAATGGAGCAAATATTTATAACACTATTAACTCTAAGCCGCAAGAATTTAGTAATGTCAATGTGTATAATGGAGACCCAAAATATGGTTCAAGTTTGTCGTGTTGTTTTGTTAAAGATCTTATTGTAATTAATGGAAACGAATGTGAGTACCAACATTTTGCCTTTATTAACTAAATTATTATTTTTATTCTTATAAATTAATAAACTCTAATTATATTTAATTAGAGTCTTATAACACATTTTTTCGTTGAAAAAAAAAAAAATCGTATCTTAGTGTCGACATTCAAAAAAAATTCCTATTATCTTTATTTGACAAAGGGGACTAGTAAACTATAACGGCTTTTTGTTTTTTGTTTTTTGGATATATATATATATATATATATATATATATATATATATATATATATATATATATATATATATATATATATTTATATATATATATATATATATATATATATATATATATATAATATATATATATATATATATATATATAAATATATCCAAAAAACAAAAAACAAAAAGCCGTTATAGTTTACTAGTCCCCTTTGCCAAATAAAGATAATAGGAATTTTTTTTGAATGTCGACACTAAGATACGATTTTTTTTTTTAATTTAGTAGGTTTTTTCCATTATGTGGAAATTAAAATTAAAGTTATTAAAATTACATATTTTTCGTAGAGACAAAGGTTGTATATTTTTGTTGTTAGATTGTAAGGTTTACAACGTTTGACAATTTTCTATTCTATAATGGGCTTTATGTATTAGTCTTTTAAGCTCCTTTTTTCCTTAGATAGTTCTGTGTCATTTCTATACTTAACTAATGCAAATGATTTGAGATAATTTGCGTATCTTATTTTAAATGATGTATTACTAATGCCTAAATATACTTTTTTATTACGATCATGATGACTGGAACTTACGGTTGCTTGATAAATAATATTGTTAGATAAACATTGATTTTTCAAAGGGCAAAATGCTTTATCTACGCAGTTACATTGGTTGTTTTTAATTTATTTTTGTTGTGTAAAATTTTAAAATTATGCGAATTTATGATAGATTTTAGATTAGGCATGCAACTGCAAAATGATATAGACTGGTTTAAAAAAATCACTAATAAGCATTTATACAAATTCCTAGTTTTTGATGTTAACGATTTTTACCCTTCGATAAAAGAAAGCATCCTCAACAATGCTATGAATTTTGCTGACCATCATATCGTTATCAAAAGCAAAGACAAAGCATTAATAAAGCATGCAAGAAAATCTCTAATTTTCAACAACAATGAAGCATTGATTAAAAAAAGAGGTGGGTTGTTCGATGTAACAATGGGGGCATTTGATGGAGCTGAAGTTTGCGAATTAATAGGTATTTTCATACTGTATCAAATTTCACAACATTATAATAAAGACGATTTCGGCTTATATCGTGACGACGGTCTTGCTGTATTCAACAACAAAAACGGTCAGCAAATGGAAAAAATCAAAAAGCATATAACACTCATTTTTAAAA